CACGGCGGAGTTGGAGTGGGCGAAGAAGACGAAGAAGAAACTGAGGGATTTGAAAAGAAGCTAAGTTCATCGAYGTTATTCTCGATCACTTTACCCAGAAATTGCAGATCTGCATATGGAAAATTTTCTCCTTTTCAACGATTCATGATCACTCGCCGCCGTGTCGGAGATTCCCCGTTTTCTGATGCAATTTTGTACTCCGATCTCTCAATTCCTCTTCTGGGTTTCATTCTTTATACTATTATCGACACTGGGTTCTTCTTCGAAATCTCTTCTCACTTGTCAACCTCTAGATCAACAACCTGTAAACCCTAGCCGTCACGTTGATTTCCTCAGAGCAATGTATTCGATGAACGATTTCATAACTCAACACAAGCTTTGGGTTGATTCTTCAATCAAAGATGTATCTCCACCAATCTATGTCTTCTTACAGTGCCGTGAAGATCTCTCCGTTTCCGATTGTCGCCATTGTTTCAACGAGAGCAAATCGGAGCTAGAGAGGACGTGTTTGAGCTCGGGATCAAGTCCGAACTTCGGTCGAATCCACACTGATTCCTGCTTCTTACGTTTCGATAACCATGATTTCTCGGAGGAGTTTGTTGATTCTAGATACGATCGAGCTAAATGCGAAGAGGAAACAGGATCAGGGATTGGAGAGTTTTGGAAAGATCTTGATGAAGCTTTTGTGAATGTTACCTTAAAGGCTGTGAAAAATGGAGGGTTTGGTGCAGCTTCGGTGATTAGTGCTGGTGGTGGGAACCCTGTGGTGTATGCATTGGCTCAGTGTTGGCAAACACTTGATGAGAATTCGTGTCGAGAGTGTTTGGTTAATGCGAGATCGAGCTTGAGGTTTTGTGATGGTCATGAAGCTAGAGCTTTCTTTACAGGGTGTTACTTGAAGTATTCTACACAAAAGTTTTTTGATGATTCTGCAGAACATAAACCCGACGATGGTATGGGACTAACTATGAATGTTGTGATCATTAGAGTCATGGTCTTGAGGTTTTGTACATGCATCAAGATTTTGTTTGTTACTTGTGCAGATCAGAGAAGCTTTATAAGATCATCGTTTTTGCCGGATTTGAGTGATCAGGATGTTATGAATGTAGCGATTGGTGTGGTTTCGTTGTCCATTCTTGCTTCTCTTGGTGCCTTTATAAGTTACCGAAGGTTTTCAAGGAAAAGAAAAGGTATTTGTGACTAAACTATCTTAGACCAGGAAGCTATGAATATGAGGTTGCTTGTTTCTGATTTGTGATCTTCTTCTGTTTTAGCTCAAATTCCATCGTGTTCAACTTTCAAATACGAGATGCTTGAGAAGGCGACCGAGTCTTTCCATGACTCGATGAAACTAGGCCAAGGAGGGGCTGGTTCTGTATACAAAGGGATTCTTCCAGATGGCAGAACCGTTGCAGTCAAAAAGCTCTTCTTTAACACACGGGAATGGGCGGATCAGTTCTTCAACGAAGTGAATTTGATCAGCGGAGTTCAACACAAGAGCCTTGTGAGACTACTTGGTTGCAGCATCGAAGGTCCTAAAAGTCTTCTTGTTTATGAATATGTTCATAATAGAAGCCTCGATCAAATCCTTTTTGGTAAGTTGCAAGAACTTCTATAAACAAACCGACTTATGGAATCCGTCTCTGTTATTCTGATGAATCGGATATTGCAGTGAAGAATACAGTCCATATACTGAGCTGGAAGCAACGGTATAACATCATTATAGGAATATCAGAAGGTCTAGAATATCTTCACAGAGGATCTGAAGTAAAAATCATCCATAGAGACATCAAAACCAGCAATATTCTCCTTGATCAAAACCTAAGTCCCAAAATAGCGGATTTTGGACTTGCACGTTCCATGGGCTCAGACAAAACGCAAACCAATACTGGAATTGCTGGAACACTGTGAGTGTGTACCTCCCAGATTGGTTCTTCTTTAACACCAACCATTTCATTTTATAAAGTTTTGGAGTTTGATGGTGTTTTTCGGGAACTGTAGCGGTTATTTGGCTCCGGAATATCTTATCAAAGGCCAATTAACAGAGAAAGCTGATGTTTACTCATTCGGAGTTCTTATCATCGAGATAGCAACTGGAAAGAAAAACAATGCATTCACGCAAGGAACTAGCTCGGTTTTATACTCTGTAAGTAACCTTTGTTTCCATGTTTAAGTCAGAAGAATATATAAATCATAGTCATATTTCCTTGGATGTTGTTGGGATAGGTATGGGAACACTATAAATCAGACACTCTAGATGGCTCGGTCGATCCTCGGTTAAAAGGGAAGTTCACAGAGGAAGAGGCCTTGAAGGTTCTTGGAATTGGATTGTTGTGTGTTCAATCTTCAGTAGAATTAAGACCGTCGATGTCTGAGATAGTATTCATGTTAAAGAACAAAGATTGTGAATTTGATTCTCCAAAACAGCCTCCGTTCTTGAGTGCAAGTGTTCTAATGCCAGATGAGGAACCTAGAGTCTGATATATTATTGTTATAAGTTTCTTAATTAGGATTTTTATAATGCTTTTTGTGTCAACTCTCTTCTACAAAATCTGTACATTGGCTTCTTTTTTTTTTGGGTTAATCATCGAATTTTGTCAACTCTCTTATACAAATCTAATAACTTACATTACATAGATAAGTTATAAAATGTGTATGGTTCTTAAGCAAACTAACTAATGAGTTAAAAGAAGAGTAGTGTGGTCCCTTTATTCTTCGTCTCGGCCTAGACATCTCAATTGGACTAGTCCGGCACGTCCCAAAACCCGCAAAATTCGCATATACTTTTATGTTTGCCGCCGTCCGATCCAAAAAATATGCGGGTCTATTTTCCAAAGTCCGGTTCATCTCAAATAAGCCTATTACGGTTTTTTAGAACTTTTATTTAAAACAAATTTAAAAAAAATATATATATTTACCAAAATAAATTTTGAATAAGCCGATTACATAGATGTAAGTTATAAAATGTGTATGGTTCTTAAGCTATGTTTTTAGGAAAAATTGGTCAAATAGACACTTTTAACTTACATAATTTGTCAAATAGGCAGTTTATTATTTATAATTGTCGAAATAGGCACCTTTTCACTATTATACTATTTATAATTAGTAAATAGGCAGTTCTCACTATTCATGATGTACATGTATATGGTGTACACACTGTTCATGGTGGATGCTATGGTAGACACACTATTCACGGTGGATGCTATTCATGATGGATACTATTCATGGCGTACACTGTTCACAATGCATCCAAGTGTACACACTGTTCACAACGCATACAAGTGTACACACTGTTCATGATAGATACTATTCACGACATATACTATTCATGGTGTCCACACTGTTCACGGTTATGAACAGTGTGTAC